AGGCACGCGCCACCATGCCCAGCTAATTTTTTGTATTTTTAGTGGAGACGGGGTTTCACCATGTTGACCAGGATGGTCTCGATCTCTTGACCTTGTGATCCACCCACCTTGGCCTCCCAAAGTGCTGGGATTACAGGCTTGAGCCACCGCGCCCGGCAAATCAGTTGACTGTTAAGTGTTTGGCTTTATTTCTCGGTTCTCTATTCTGTTCCATTGGTATGTGTGCCTGTTTTTACACCAGTGCCATGCTGTTTTGGTGACTACAGCCTTATAGTATAGTTTGAAGTTAGGTAATGTGATGCCACCAGATTGGTTCTTTTTGCTTAGCATTTGCTTTGGCTCTGAAGGCTCTTTTTTGGTTCCATATGAATTTTAGGATTGTTTTTTCTAGTTCTGTGAAGAATGATGATGGTATTTTGATGGGAATTGCATTGAATTTTTGGATTCCTTTAGGCAGTGTAGTCATTTTCACAATACTGATTCTAACCATTCATGAGCATGAAATGTGTCTCCAATAGTTTGTGTCATCTGTGATTTATTTTAGCAGTGTTTTGTAGCTTTCCTTATGAAGATCTTTCGCCTCCTTGGTTAGGTATATTCCTAAGTATTTTGTTATTATTTTTTGCAGCAATTGTAAAAAAGGTTGGATTCTTGATTTGATTCTCAGCTTGGTCATTGTTGGTATATAGCAGTGCTACCGACTGGTGCACACTGACTTTGTATCCTGACATTTTACTGAATTTGTTTATTAAATCTAGAAGCTTTTTGGATGAATCTTTAGGGTTTTCTAGGTATATAATCACATGATTGGTGAACAGGGACGGTTTGACTTCTTCTTCCCCAATTTGGATGCCCTTTATTTCTTTCTCTTGTCTGATTGCTCTGGCTAGGACTCTGCCATTTTCTTGAACTTGGATATGTCACGAAGCTGCTCAGTGCCCCAGTCTCCACATCTTAATGAAATAATGGGACTAGTAACACCAACCTGGATGTATTGCCACAAGGATGAAACTAACGAGACCCCTTCACAGGCCCAGCGTGTGGTGTTCAGCGGGTCTTCCATAATTTTTCCTTCTGTTAGCATTCATCAAACACCTGCCAGATGCGATGATCTGCTCCCCTAGCCCTGAGAATGGACCTGGGTTTTCTAGGAGGGGGGTCCCTTAGTCCACTGTCTCCTCTCAGCTCAGCAGCTCTGGGCATCTGTGAGTCACAGTCTATTTGGCTGCAGATTGGATGGGCCTCATCTGCCCT